TTAAGTCGATGCCTGCAATGCAGGCATCCTAAATGGTCCCTAATCCATGTCCTGGCTGTGCCACTTCCAATCTAGCTCCCTACTAGGAAAAACAGCCTGAGAAAAGCAGCAGCAGATGGCCCAAGTGCTTGGGCCCCTGCCACTCATGTGGGCGACCTTAAGGAAGCTCCTGGTTTCTGGTTTTCACCTGACCCAGCCCTGGCCTTTGTGGCCACCTGGAGAGTGAACCAATGGATGGAAGATTTCTCTCTCTGTCTTACTATCTCTCTGTAACACGTTTTTTAAAAAAAGATTTATTTTGTTTATTTGAAAGACAGAGTTACAGAGAGAGATAGAGACAGAGAGAGAGGTCTTCCATCTGCTGGTTCACTCCCCAGATGGCTGGAACGGCTGTAGCTGTGCCAATCCAAAGCTAGAAGCCAGGAGCTTCTTCCAGGTATCCCATGAGGGTGCAGAGCTCAAGCACTTGGGCCATCTTCTCCTGCTTTCCCAGGCCATAGCAGAGAGCTGGATCGGAAGTAGAGCAGCCGGGACTCGAACCGGTGCCCATATGGAATGCCAATGCTTCAGGCCAGGGCGTCAACCAGCTATGCCACAACACCGGCCGCTCTCTCTTGTAGCACTTTCAAATAAATAAATAATCTTAAAAAAACTAGTCAGGAGCAAAAGTCATGGCAATAATTTGGGGAACTACTGAGAGCATTTTGCCTGTTGACTTTTTGGAAGGCCAAAGAACAGTGGCATGTGTTTGTCAGTAGAATGCATTGAGAAAGGTAACCAAAGCTTTAGCACAATTCTACCTGGGAAAGGTTTACCACTGCAACAATGCTCCTGCTTGCTCCTTTCCTCTCTTCAAACAAAGGCAGTGTTAGAAGAATTTCCGTGGAGACCGTGAGGCATCCATTTTACATTCCTGTTTTGGTTTCTTCTGACTTCTTTTTGTCTCTGATCTTCAAAAATCACTACAGGGAACATATTTTCCTTCAGTGAAATGTAACAAAGACTACATTGACATGGTTCAGTTTAAGGAGTGCTCAGCTCATTAAGGGTAGACTAAATGGTTGGTGTCATTGTTTATGAAAGTGTACTGAATGTGATGAAGTTTGTGTTGATAAGTGAAGTTATTTTTTATTTATCAATTTAAATGGCAGTTTTCATGAACTTTTGAAATCACTTCATGATTAAATCTCAGGCATCAAACAAATTAAATTTGAATTAAAAAAAGAAAAGTAAAAAACATTTTGTATTTCATTTATGTCATCCAAGACTGATCTTATTTTATTGATGATTTCCTTTTTTCATTCTCTATAGCTCCATCCTGTCTGCTTTTAATCCATCTTCTTATTTTAAATTATTTATTTCAATTTAAATATACCAAATAGGAATTGTGAAGTACTATATATCCAGCATCTATTGTTCATATTCATATTAGTAAAAGGTGAAAAATTTATACGATCTGAAGAGAAACTAGAGTATCATATTAGTATGATATATTTGTCACAGTTATTGAACCAGTTATCCCTTAATTTTTAACCTAGACTCCTTCTATCCATCCAATCCCTCTCTGCCTCTAGTGATCAACATTCTGTATTCAGATTGAGTTTTCCTTTTAGCTCCTACATGTGAAGGAGGATGTGCAGTATTTGTCTTTACATGTTAGGAATATTTCATTCGACATTATTCTCTCTAGGCTTCAAATGATGGGATCTCATTCTTTTTAATGGCTGAATAGTATTCTGGTTATGACTGTGTGTGTGTATATATATATACATATATATATATATCTCACATTTTCTTTATCTGTTCATCTGATGTTGGACACCTTGGTTGATCCCATGTCTTAACTACTGTGAACAGTGCTGCAATAAATATGGTGGAGCAGGTATTAGTTTAATGTAATGAGTTCATGTCTATTTTGTATTGGGATTGCTTGATTATATGGTGGTTCTATTTCTAGTCTTTAAAGAAATCTCCGTACTGTTTTCCATAATGACTGTACTCATTTATCTGTCCACCAACAGCCTATGAGTTCCCTTTTCTCCAAAGCCTCGCCAGCGTTTGTGACTCTGGCTTTTTGATAATAGCCATTCTGATGGGAATGAGGTTATATCTGATTATGGTGTAGGTTTGCATTTCCCTGTTGGCTAGGGATATTGAAAATATTTTCATTTTTTTGCCATTTAGATCTCTTCTTTCCCCTTTTATTAACTGGATTTTGTTTGTTTTCAGTGAGTTTTTGAGTTGCTGATATACTTTAGATAGTAATTCTTTGCCAAAGAAGGGGCTTGTAAATATTTGCTCTCATTCTGCTGGATTCTCTTCACTCTACTGATTGTTTTCTTTGCTGTGCAGAAGCTTCTGAGGTTGATATGATTCCATTAGTCTATTTTAAATTTTATTTCACTTATTCATTTCAAAGGTAGACATACATACACACAAATGCACACATACACAGAGCAAAAGAAGGAGAGCTTCCGGTTAATTCCCCAAAGCCTAAGACAGAGCCAAGCCAAAGTCAGGACCTTGGGACTCATCCCAGGTCTTTCACGGGAGTGGGAGGGAACCAAGCACTTAAACCATCTAATTCTGCTGATTACCAGAGTGAACATGTCCAGGAAGCTGGCTCAGAAGCAGAGGAGTTGGGACTGGAACCAGGTACTCTGGTCTGGGATGGGGATGTCCCGGGTGACAGCTGCTGCACGAGTCTTCTAACCTCTATTACTTTGAAAAATGCAATGCATGGCACATTTTATTTGAGAACAAAAAAGTCATATTTAAAATACATTAGAAATTCTGTGTTTCTAATGAATTTGCACTGGACTTTTACTTAACTCCTGTTAATATTTTTTCTTAAAACCTCTATATTTTAATTCTTCTGGAGTTTGCCATTTTTACTTACTTGCCACTTGCCTCCTGAATCTGATTAATCAAATCAACACACTTTTTCTAAATAGGTTATTTTCCCTCTTGGTTTATAGTGTGCATGACTGTGGACTGAAATTATTTTTCTTGGACTCATTTCTCATTTTCTCTACACTTTTAATATGTTAATATCATTCAACTCCTGTTTTTCATTTAGATAATATCTGGTGATGACAGCTGTTGGTGTATAAATTGTATACACGGTAGCTGTGAATGCATTTTGATGACTGCTCCTTGCCGCACAAGGCTGAGTTTTAAGTTTTGTCTATTTCACTCAAATTCTCTTCCACAGAGCTTAAGGGGGTTATTGATTCCAGCTTCCACTCAGAGAAACAAATAATAAGGCATACATTAAATACAACAAGTTATAAATTTTATCTTTAGAAGTCACATAATAATATGTATTATTATTATTATTAATGAAAGAACCACTGAACTTACATTGTCTAATATGATCAATTTTCCCAGGCTGAAAGATTCAGAGATATTTAGAACCCTTATACAATTCCTTTATCAGCACCCTACCACTACTGTAGATTTATAACAAAAACAAGAATACAAAGAGAACATCAAACAAAGCTAAACAAAAACTTACAAATATCTTGTATTTTTGACTTCCAATTTCTTTGTGGAAGCTCTACCTCACATTAGTTGATTAACTTAGGGTTAGCAAATTGCAGTCCCATACAGCAACATAAGCATCACCTGGGAACTTGTTAAAAACTCAACATCTCCCAGCTGCATCTCAGACTTCCCAGTTCAGAAACCCAACGCATGCTTTAACAATCCCTCCAGGTGATGCTGGTGCCCACTGAAGTTTGAGAACCAGCAGATTCAGTCACAGGAGAGCCAGGAGACGTTCTTTGGCAAGGATTAGACTCTAGCTGAAGCAAATTTCATGATGTTTCCTTTTCCGCAGACTGGACCTCGCTCTCTGTCTTCCTTCAGAGAGTGGAATGATCGTCTAGGGCAGGGAAACAGCCCCAGAGCAAGCCAAGGAAACAAAAACAAAAAAATTCAAAAGAAAATTCTCACATGCCAGAGCACTTCTCTTCGCGCTGAGGACTCTATTATTTCCCAACACAGTGCGCCAAAAAGGACCGCAAAGATAGACCAGCTGATGCAATCAAACAGCCATTTTATACCATGCACTAAACATCAGAGAAATATGTTGGAGAATGCTGCCAATTAATTCAGGTTTCCACCAAAAACTGGTCCCACTCCTAACAAAGTTATCACCTTTCAGGGAACAAACACAAGGAAGAATCACCCTCATGGGTGCCACTTTATCTTCCAGCAGTCTTTTAGTGACCCTCCGTGCAGGTTGTAGTGCTCAATCATAGCAGAGGCACCAAACCTGGGGGCCAGTCATTGATGGCTGTAGCAGCAGCTGAATAATGCATGGCATTCTTTACTGGCAATGAGTACTTGATTTTGTTGACTAATTTAAATACTTTCATTCTGTCCCTTAAGAAATTCTCTCATTTGGAAAATTGCAATCTGATGACAATTCCAATACTTGAAATGCTATGTTTCATTCAGTGCATATAACACCGTCCTTATTTCAAATTTAAATAGAAGCATACAGTTTTTATTAATAGGAAATTTGTTTCTGACTGCTACCACTAAGTACATAGTAAATAAATATTTTCACACACCGGTGGAACATGTAGGCATATTTTTGGCTGTCCAGAGATATCCACGTGTCTCCATTTGTTTTTATCTGGGATTCCTGTGAACTTCTTTATGACTGAAAGAAAAGGGAACAATCAGCAGCCCCTTGGGTGAGACCTCTGCCTACAGAAAATGAAATATATGAGTTTTGACTCCCAGCATCTTTTGCGGAAGACTTGCTCAAGTTTTCAAGGAGTAATACAAATTCTGAGACTATTATTGCCTAGCAATAGTTTCCTGGGTGATCTTCCTTATCTCTCCTTTTCCTCCCCCAAACCACCCTACTAGGAGATAAGTTTTTCTGAAACTTAAAACCTTGACTTTCGTCACATCATTGAAATAGTTTCTGTTATCTGTGACCTAAACTGTTTTGTCTTCATCTCTTGTTGCATTATTTTATCCAGGTTTTGAAAAACTCAAACATCAGTGTGATGCTTACAACACGCCGACCTGGTGCTGTACCATGAAGGATAAAAAGCTACATTATAAACATGTTGCATCCTCTTGTATGTAGTGTCATTTACTCAATAACAAGAAATTTGAATAATCATATCTACGTTATTCTCATTCACTTTTTCTTTTTTTTGAAGGTTTTTATTTAAAGAATACAAATTTCATATGTACAGCTTTTAGGGAGATAGTGTTTCTTCCCCCCATTCCTGCCCTCCCACTCACACTCCCATCCCACCTCCCACTACCTCTCCTGTTCCATTTTCCACCAAGATTCATTTTTAATTGACTTTATATACAGAAGACCAACTCTTTACTAAGGAGAGATTTCAACTATTTGCAGCCACACAGACATATAAAGTATAAAGTACACCCTGAAGACAAGTTTTACCATTAATTCTCATAATACAACTCATTAAGGACAGAGGTCCAAGTGCACAGTGAGTCCTGTTGTTCTCATTCACTTTTAAAATAAATCTAGAATATTTTTTGATAGCACATCTTAGAGCTTTGTTTTAATTCACCTATAATAATGCTTGAGAAGAATTATACTATTCAAGTTCTCCATTCTGGCAAACCATGCCGACTTTCCCTAATTCTCTTGGTGGTCCCCACTCACCAGTGACAATCCCTGGCTCTCCTTAGCACGATGAGTCACCGTACACGATCTGACTGAAAAAGGTGGCAGGTTCTTTCAGCCCCTCTAGCGTGCCAGATTCATGTAAATATCTCAGATCCATTTGATATGACCATTTCAGATTAACTACTGAACCAGCAGCTGCCATTGTAGGGGTGCCAGATTATGTCTCCTAATTATTACCTTTCCTCCTCTTAAGGGGGTTTACTTCTAATTCCAGTTTCCATCTTGCATGCTGTTTATTATTGTCATGTTTTACTTCTGGATTATAGTTCTATATTTTATTATTCCTTCATCACTTATCTTTCAAGGAGATTTAAATATGTGAATAGGATGTCATTTATGTTTATAATTAACATTTCTGAAGCTCTTTGTGCTTTATGTAGATCAAAGATTCTTTGGAACCATTTTTCTTTCTCCTGAAGAGTTGTTAAACCAAATGAACCAGGCCTAGATGGCGGAATAGTGAGGGCGCGCACCGATAGTCCGGGAAAATTTAGTTTAATAAAAGGGGAGTTACGGTAGCCGCAGAAAATAGAACCAAACAAAAATTGCAGGGGAAACCCTTGTGGATGGAGCAGGCGTGAATCGGAGGACCTACTGGGAGAACAAGGTCGCCCACCGCGCGGAAGCCAAGTTGCGGGACCCAGCCGCAGAAGCCCCAGGGTCTGCGCGACAGTGCTCCAAGGGGAGTGCATGCCACACAGACAACAGCGGGGAGACTTGGGACGCTCAGGGCTCCGAGTCCACACATCGGCGCTGGAAGGGGAGGTGAGCTCAATAACCCGAGACATTGGTGGGGAAACGGGGGTCAGAATCTAGAGGGGGGCCGGAAAGTGCAGCAAACTCACTACCAGAAAGAAGGAAAAAAAAAAGCTTCGGGGTTTCTCTTCCCCCTAACCTTGCAAAGGTTACAAGGCTGCAAGGCTTGAAGAATTCCAAAGAGACAAAGAGCAGGCCTCCTCTTTGGATTTACATATCAATGGGGGAGAGTTAAGGAACTGAGTCACTACAATTCAGTAGCCTAGGCAACCCAGTGGGAGTCCAGAGGAGCCAAAGACTGGAAGCTAAATACCATCAATTTTGCACAGCCCTGCCCTGCTGTGTTACTTACCCCCTGAATAAATAAAATAAATAAATAAATAAAAAGAGAGAGATTTACCACGCATAACCTGAGGGTGTCACCTTTGCACACCCTTAACCAGGAAGAACCAGGCAGAGCTCTCAGGCCGCACCCATCTCAAGCCTCCAAGGCTCCTCCAACAGCAGGCAGTCCACTTAACACGGACACAGTATAAAAAAAAAAAAAGAAAAAAAAAACGCACAGTGACGCAAGAAGAATTAACTATGCCGAGTAACAAACACAGAAATAGAGGCAGCAAGATCAACGATGACACTATGATGCCTCCAAATAAGCAAAACACCCCAAGCCAAGAGTATGAAGATGATGAGATAGAAGAAATGCAAGATACGGATTTCAAAAAATTTATGATAAGAACATTTAGAAGTTTTCAAAAGCAAATCCTTGAACTACAGAAATCCTTAATGGACAAGATTGAAAATCTCTCTCGTGAAAATGAAATTTTAAGGAAGAGTCAAAATGAAACTCAGAAACTAGTAGAACAGGAAAGCGTAATAGTCAAGAGAAATCAAAATGAAATGAAGAGCTCAATAGATCAAATGACAAACACATTAGAAAGCCTTAAAAACAGAATGGTTGAAGCAGAAGAGAGAATATCGGACTTAGAAGATAGAGCACAGGAAAACATACAGTCAAACCAAAGAAAAGAAGAGGAAATTAGAAATCTAAAAAATATTGTTGGGAATCTACAGGATACTATTAAAAAAACCAACATTCGGGTTCTAGGAGTTCCTGAAGGCATGGAGAGAGAGAAAGGATTGGAAGGCCTTTTTAGTGAGATACTAGCAGAGAACTTTCCAGGTTTGGAGAAGGACAGAGATATCCTAGTACAGGAAGCTCATAGAACCCCCAATAAACATGACCAAAAGAGATCCTCACCACGACACGTGGTAATTAAACTTACCACAGTGAAACATAAAGAAAAGATCCTAAAATGTGCAAGAGAGAAACATCAGATTACTCTCAGAGGATCTCCAATCAGACTCACAGCTGACTTCTCATCAGAAACCCTACAAGCTAGGAGGGAATGGCGAGACATAGCACAGGTGCTAAGAGAGAAAAATTGCCAGCCCAGAATATTATATCCTGCAAAGCTCTCATTTGTGAATGAAGGTGAAATAAAGACCTTTCATAGCAAACAGAAATTGAAAGACTTTGTGGCCACTCGTCCGGCCCTGCAAAAGATACTTAAAGATGTGCTACACTCAGAAAACAGAAACACGGCCATCAATATGAAAGAAGGGAAAGGAAGAACACCTACCAGTAAAAGAGCATGGGAAGCTCAAAGCATATACTAGAAAATATTTCCGGGAAAATGGCAGGGCAAAGTCACTATGTATCGATAGTCACATTGAACATTAATGGTCTGAATTCTTCAGTTAAAAGACACCGTTTGGCTGACTGGCTCACAGAACACAACCCAACTATTTGTTGCCTACAAGAAACACATCTCTCTAACAAAGAGGCATGCAGACTGAAAGTGAAAGGTTGGAAAAAGATATTCCATGCCAACAGAAACCAAAAAAAAGCAGGTGTAGCCATATTAATATCAGACAAAATAAACTTTAATACAAAAACTGTTAAGAGAGACAAAGAGGGACACTATATAATGATTAAGGGTTCAATTCAACAGGAAGATGTAACTATTATAAATGTATATGCACCTAATTACAGGGCACCGGTCTATTTAAAAGATATGTTAAGGGACTTAAAGGGAGATTTAGATTCCAATACAATAGTACTGGGGGACTTCAATACTCCACTCTCAGAAATAGACAGATCATCCGGACAGAAGATCAACAAGGAAACAGCAGATTTAATTGACACTATTGCCCAAATGGATCTAACAGATATCTACAGAACTTTCAACCCTACATCTACAGACTTCACATTCTTCTCAGCAGTGCATGGAACCTTCTCTAGGATTGATCACATACTAGGCCATAAAGCAAGTCTCAGCAAATTTAAAAGAATTAGAATCATACCATGCAGCTTCTCAGACCACAGCGGGATGAAGCTGGAAATTAGCAACTCAGGAAACCCCAGAAAGTATGCAAACACATGGAGACTGAACAACATGCTCCTGAATGAACACTGGGTCATTCAAGAAATCAAAAGAGAAATCAAAAACTTTCTGGAAGTAAATGAAGACAACAACACAACATATCAAAACTTATGGGATACAGCAAAAGCAGTATTGAGAGGCAAATTTATAGCAATCGGTGCCTATATCAAGAAATTGGAAAGGTACCAAATAAATGAGCTTTCAGCGCACCTCAAGGACCTAGAAAAACTGCAGCAAACCAAACCCAAATCTAGTAGGAGAAGAGAAATAATTAAAACCAGAGAAGAAATTAACAGGATTGAATCCCAAAAAACATTACAAAAAATCAGCGAAGCGAGAAGCTGGTTTTTTGAAAAAATAAACAAAATTGACACCCCATTGGCCCAACTAACTAAAAAAAGAAGAGAAAAGACCCAAATCAATAAAATCAGAGATGAAAAAGGAAACGTAACAACAGACACCACAGAAATAAAAAGAATCATCAGAAATTACTACAAGGACTTGCATGCCAGCAAACAGGAAAACCTATCAGAAATGGATAGATTCCTGGACACATGCAATCTACCAAAATTGAACCATGAAGACATAGAAAACCTAAATAGACCCATAACTGAGACAGAAATTGAAACAGTAATAAAGGCCCTCCCAACAAAGAAAAGCCCAGGACCAGATGGATTCACTGCTGAATTCTACCAGACATTTAAAGAAGAACTAATCCCATTTCTTCTCAAACTATTCAGAACAATAGAAAAAGAGGGAATCCTCCCAAATTCTTTCTATGAAGCCAGCATCACCTTAATCCCTAAGCCAGAGAAAGATGCAGCACTGAAAGAGAATTACAGTCCAATATCCCTGATGAACATAGACGCAAAAATCCTCAATAAAATTCTGGCCAATAGAATACAACAACACATCAGGAAAATCATCCACCCAGACCAAGTGGGATTTATCCCTGGTATGCAGGGATGGTTCAACATTCGCAAATCAATCAATGTGATTCACCACATTAACAAACTGCAGAAGAAAAACCATATGATTATCTCAATTGATGCAGAGAAAGCATTATATAAGATTCAACACCCTTTCATGATGAAAACTCTAAGCAAATTGGGTATAGAAGGAACATTCCTCAATATAATCAAAGCAATTTATAAAAAACCCACAGCCAGCATCCTATTGAATGGGGAAAAGTTGGAAGCATTTCCACTGAAATCTGGCACCAGGCAGGGATGCCCACTCTCACCACTGCTATTTAACATAGTTCTGGAAGTTTTAGCCAGAGCCATCAGACAAGAAAAAGAAATTAAAGGAATACAAATTGACAAGGAAGAAGTCAAACTATCCCTCTTTGCAGACGATATGATTCTGTACTTAGAGGATCCAAAGAACTCTACTAAGAGACTATTGGAACTCATAGAGGAGTTTGGCAAAGTGGCAGGATATAAAATCAATGCACAAAAATCAACAGCCTTTGTATACACAAGTAATGCCATGATTGAGAAAGAACTGCTAAGATCAATCCCATTCACAATAGCTACAAAAACAATCAAATACCTTGGAATAAACTTAACCAAGGACATTAAAGATCTCTACGATGAAAATTACAAAACCTTAAAGAAAGAAATAGAAGAGGATACCAAAAAATGGAAAAATCTTCCATGCTCATGGATTGGAAGAATCAACATCATCAAAATGTCCATTCTCCCAAAAGCAATTTATAGATTCAATGCAATCCCAATCAAGATACCAAAGACATTCTTCGCAGATCTAGAAAAAATGATGCTGAAATTCATATGGAGGCAGAAGAGACCTCGAATAGCTAAAGCAATCTTGTACAACAAAAACAAAGCCGGAGGCATCACAATACCAGACTTCAGGACATACTACAGGGCAGTTGTAATCAAAACAGCATGGTACTGGTACAGAAACAGATGGATAGACCAATGGAACAGAATTATAACACCAGAAATCAATCCAAACATCTACAGCCAACTTATATTTGATCAAGGATCTAAAACTAATTCCTGGAGCAAGGACAGTCTATTCAATAAATGGTGCTGGGAAAACTGGATTTCCACGTGCAGAAGCATGAAGCAAGACCCCTACCTTACACCTTACACAAAAATCCACTCAACGTGGATTAAAGACCTAAATCTACGTCCTGACACCATGAAGTTATTAGAGAACATTGGAGAAACCCTTCAAGATATTGGCACAGGCAAAGAATTTCTGGAAAAGACCCGGGAGGCACAGACAGTCAAAGCCAAAATCAACTATTGGGATTGCATCAAATTGAGAAGTTTCTGTACTGCAAAAGAAACAGTCAGGAGAGTGAAGAGACAACCGACAGAATGGGAAAAAATATTTGCAAACTATGCAACAGATAAAGGGTTAATAACCAGAATCTACAAAGAGATCAAGAAACTCCACAAAAACAAAACCAACAACCCACTTAAGAGATGGGCCAAGGACTTCAATAGATATTTTTCAAAAGAGGAAATCCAAATGGCCAACAGGCACATGAAAAAATGTTCAAGGTCACTAGCAATCAGGGAAATGCAAATCAAAACCACAATGAGGTTTCACCTCACCCCGGTTAGAATGGCTCACATACAGAAATCTACCAACAACAGATGCTGGTGAGGATGTGGGGAAAAAGGGACACTAACCCACTGTTGTTGGGAATGCAAACTGGTCAAGCCACTATGGAAATCAGTCTGGAGATTCCTCAGAAACCTGAATATAACCCTACCATTCGACCCAGCCATCCCACTCCTTGGAATTTACCCAAAGGAATTTAAGTTGGCAAACACAAAAAGCGGTCTGCACCCTAATGTTTATTGCAGCACAATTCACAATAGCCAAGACCTGGAACCAACCTAAATGCCCATCAATGGTAGACTGGATAAAGAAATTATGGGATATGTATTCTTTAGAATACTATACCGCAGTAAGAAACAACGAAATCCAGTCATTTGCAACAAAATGGAGGAATCTGGAACACATCATGCTGAGTGAAGTAAGCCAGTCCCAAAGGGACAAATACCACATGTTCTCCCTGATCGGTGACAACTGACTGAACACCAAAAAGGAAACCTCCTGAAGTGAAATGGACACTATGAGAAATGGTGACTTGATCAGCATAGCCCTGACTGCTAATGGACAACTTAATACATTATCCCTCATAGTATTTTTTTTTTGTCTGTTCTACTTAATATGACTGGTTTAATTCTGTAATTAATACACAGTTATTCTTAAGTGTTGAAAATTAACTGAAATGTGATCCCTGTTAAACATAAAAGTGGGAATAAGAGAGGGAAGAGATGTATAATTTGGGGCATGCTCGGGCTGAGTTGCCCCAATTGGTAGAGTTGGAAACATACCAGGGGATTCCAATTCAATCCCATCAAGGTGGCATGTGCCAATGCCATCTCACTATTCCAAGTGATCAATTTCAGTTCACAATTGATCATAATGAAAGGACTAAGAGTCAAAGGGAGCACATAAACAAGTCTAGTATCTGCTAACACTAACCGATAGAATAAATAAAGGGGAGAGTGATCCAACATGGGAAGTGAGATACTCAGCAGACTCATAGAATGGCGGATGTCCTAAATAGCACTCTGGCCTCAGAATCAGCCCTAAAGGCACTCGGATCTGGCTGAAAAGCCCATGAGAGTATTTCAGGCATGGAAAGCCAAGACACTCTGGCAAAAAGATCTCTGTGAGTGAGATCCCAGTGGAAAGAACAGGTCTTCAAAGAGGGAGGTGCCTTTCTCTGAAGGGAGGAGAGAACCTCCACTTTGACTATGACCTTGTCTAAACAAGATAAGAGTCGGAGAACTCAAGGGGCTTCCATATCCTTGGAAACTCATGACTGGTGCATAGGGAGATTACTGATGCCATAAACAGGCGTGTCAATTTGTAAAGTCAACAACAGGAGTCACTGTGCACTTACTCCTCATGGTGGATCTCTGTCCTTAATGTGCTGTACACTGAGGCTGAATGCTATAACGAGTACTCAAACAGTATATTTCACTTGTGTTTCTATGGGGGTGCAAACGATTGAAATCGTTACTTAATTTACACTAAACTGATCTTCTGTAAAAAAAAAAAAAAAAAGAAGAAGAAGAAGAAATTATCAATTCCCAACTTGACTCTCACTGGGATTAAACATGACAATAGGTCTGATCTGATTTCATCATCATTTAAAAAAAATCATCTATTATTTTTCACTTTATGTTTCTGTGTGGGAACAAACTGTTGAAATCCTTACTTAAGGTATACTAAGCTGATCTTCTGTATATTAAGATAATCGAAAATGAATCTTGATGTGAATGGAAGGGGAGAGGGAGTGGGAAAGGGGAGGGTTGTGGGTGGGAGGGACGGTATGGGGGGGAAAGCCATTGTAACCCATGAATTTATATTCATTAAATAAAAGATAAAAAAAAAAATAACCAAATGAACCAGTGCCAAGGTTTTGGTGCAGCAGTTTAAGTTTCCACTTGTGACCCTGGCATGCTGGAGTGGTAGTTTGAGTCCCAGCCACTCCACTTCTTTGAGCTCCCTGCTAACATGCCTGGGAAGGCAATAAAGCATGGCGTGAGTCCTTGGTCCCTTGCCACCTGTGTGGCAGGACCTTGGCTTCGGCTTGGTTCTGCACCAACCATTGCTGCCATTAGGGGAGTGACTCAGTGAATGGAAGATCTCTTTTTCTCTCTGTCTTCTGCCCTGCATCTCTCTGTAACTTTGCCT